TCCTTTGACTATCCAATGGAGGGTAATTATGGTGATCTTAATGACTATGAGATGCAGGTGAAATCTCTTGGGATTATTGTGTCCCAAAAGTCATCTATTCGATTGTTGTGAATGTAGTTACCTGGGTTTATTCCTTGCAGCTGCAGTGGACGTCACTGTTAAACAAATTGCTGACCAGAGAGACGCTGATCCACCGAGCAGAATAACTAAATTCAGTTTACTTTTAGTGTTTACAGGTGCCAATTAATAAGTTTTTTTAATATTGTATTGTACAGCATAGAAAGGATGTTTCTGTGAATTCTGTAACATGAAGTCGTCAGTGCCAGTGAAATAGCAGCACTAATGTGAATCAATGCCAGGGGCCTTAGCCTCTTAGCTTTAATGATCTTCCTTAAGTAACAAGGTAAAAATGACCCTCTCCCTCTGGATTTTGAAGATGGTTCATCTAAAAAAAGTACCTCAAACAAATCCAGGAATTCATGGGACCAGTGGGGAATTGTGTTTAAAAAGAAAACTTAACATTTCCGCCTTGTCTTCCTCTGGCAGTTTCCACTGTGTACATTCCAGTAATTCTGTGTCTTCCATCTGCTGATACTGTATGAATGATCACACTGCGCCTCTACCCCGGGTTTGGAAGCGTTGTTTAAACACAATGTATAATAGGAATTCTAGCTTTTTCTCATTTGGCTTAATTTATTCAGAAAAGACTAAGTGACACATATAAATCCCAGATTCTGCTTCTTTTAAGTATGAACTCCAAAGCAGACGGACTCAACTAAAACAAAACAAAACAACAATAAACAATCAAACAGAGAAGTTATAAGTTCAGTTAAACCCAGGAAACAGGCTTTGGCATTAGGCTTTAAGCCCATTCTGACTGTTGGATACTAAAGTTCATGGAAGTGTAAAAATGACAAAATAAGGATATATCGTGGTGTATTTTGGCTTTATGAACCATTCTAACTAAAGTTTACATTACAGCAAAAATGTGTAAACTTTCAATTTGTTTTCAATTCTGTCTGAAAAACCTAAAAATATATGTTTTGTCTCACAAACATTTCCATTATTTAATGAAAATCCGGTTAGTGGAAAGTTGCAGGAAGCTCCGTCCATGGGAGACTTCTTTAAGTCTTGAGACTTTAAGACTTGATTTCTCCACAAATACACCGTTTCTGTTCTTTTTTAATTGTTTGATTTTTGAACAAATATGACTAATTGTCTATTTCTGTGCTTTGCACTTGTGGATGACCTGCACCATTAGCACCCAGTCTACAGACCATGTTTGCATGTTTAAGGATTTGTATTCTTACATGCAAGATCTGAAAAACACCAACATTGGTTATGAGTTATCATTTTAAATACTGCCTGACACACATTACCCTGAGGGTATCTCATAAGTAATTACTGATGTACTATCTACCCTGTCACCACATCTGAACCCAGTCAAACGGGAGAATTTGGATTGATGTGTTACACACTCAACTCTTTCCAGAGACTTGGAAAATCAATGCCAGGGTACATTGAAGCAGTTCTGAGAGAATCTGGCAGGCCAATGCTTCAACTTAAAGTAAGCAGTCAAGGACACAGCAAGTAACCTGTCTGTACATCATGTTGTTATGTTACAGTCCGTGGCTGCATGTAGCTGTTACACACGTGCAAAACAGAAATGGAAAATTAAGAGTACTGTATCACTCTTTTTAAATATCCATCCATCCATTCGCTTCCGCTTATCCTTTTTCAGGGTCGCGGGGGGCGCTGGAGCCTATCCCA